GCACTTAAGGCATCAAATTGTGCCTCTGTTGTAAGCCGTCTTGAGTCCCCTTCAGAGTGAGGATGATATATAAATCTTGTAAATAAATAAATAAATAAATACACTATTATTTATTTATTTAATATATTTATATACCGTCCCTCTCAGCCTGCAGGCAACTCAGGGCGGTTTATAGTCGGTACCAAGACCATAAAATACAATTAAAATACAATTAAAACATTCAGATAGTATAAAACCATAGCAAAGTCAAAAAAGCATATATCATTGGGGTCTCCTTGTTAAAATATTGTCCAATCACATCGTCCAACCATTCAATTTTCCTATGTCTGTTACTTTGTGTTTTCAAATGCCTGCTCAAAAAGCCAGTCTTGACTCTTTTCCGGAATGTTAAAAGGGAGGGGACCAATCTGATATCCCTAGGGAGGGTATTCCATAGCTGAGGGGCCACCACTGAGAAGGCCCTGTTTCTCGTCCCTGCCAGTCGTACTTGTGACAAAGGCAGGATTGAGAGCACGGCCTCCTCAGATGATTTTAAAGACTGGAAGGATCATAAGGAGAGAAACGTTCGGACAGGTAAGTTGGGCCAGAACCGTTTAGGGCTTTATAGGCTAAAGCCAGCACTTTGAATTGTGCCCGGTAGCAGACTGGTAGCCAGTGGAGCTGGCACAACAAAGGAGTTTTATGCTCCCTGAGCACCTCTCCTGTTAGCAATCTGGCTGCCATCCATTGGACTATTTGAAGCTTCCGGATAGTCTTCAAAGGCAGAGTGCGTTGCAGTAGTCTATACAGGGTGTAACCATAGCGTGGACTGCCAAGTCAGATTTCCAGAGGTACTCCCTTTAGCTACAGCTCTCTAGCAGAAAAGTCAATGGGCTTTACCAAACTAGAAATCCAAGGATTTCAGAAGATGATACCATGGAAGTTAAATGCTATCCAGCTGTTATAACTCTGCAGTGTAGACACACACAAAGTGCACCAGTGTTCTTGATTATTGCCCATATTGGCTATTGATGACTAATTTGGGTGAGGAAACCAGGAAGAAGACTGAAGGCAGAAGATCAAAATGGGAAAAGATCTAGAAACTATGCCCTATAAATAGAGGCTTAGGAACTTGGAGATGAGAAGGTTAAGAGATTACACGAAAGCCACGTTTAAGTATTTGATGAGGTGCCATATTGAAGATGGAGCATGCTTTCTGCTGCTCCAGATATAACACAGAGCAAAGGATTAAAACTTTTGAAAAAAGAGATTCCTCCAAAATGGATGAAAGGGCTTCAGGAAAGTGGGACTGGTTCAACTTGACCTGATATGCTGTCCAGAAGACACTGCCACCATCTCTGTCTTCTTGTGCTGATGAAGGATTAGATTGTGTCTGTATCTCCTGGGTGTTGTGGGACCTTTACTGATGTCAGGATCAGCAGAAAGAGGAAAGATCACTCCCCTCCTTCTTCCTAATTATGTGGGTGCCCCATTCCCACATTGGCAGAGGCAATCAAGATAGTCAAAAGCTTCAAATGGTAATGGAAGAAGTCATATCTAAGTGAGACAGAAGTGGTCCCAGGCCAAATGGACAATGCAAGTGCCAAATCCAGGGCTGTTCTGAGGACAGATTTATATCTAACTGAAAATCTAGGAGGGGATGGAGCTAATGGCTCTTAAAAGAGGCAGTCAAAATTCATGTTTTAAGATACACTCTTTGAATCCATGCTTCCCAGTAGGGTGCAACTATCAGCAACACACTGATGTCTTTGCACCAGATCAAAAGCTTTTTTTTTTGAGGGGGGGGGGGGTTGTGTCGGCTACAAATGTTGCTGCATTTGCTGTTTTAGTCACTCTACTATCGCTTATCAGACTGCTGCATACAGTACAGCATTTCACAGATAAAATCCGAGATGCATTTAGCCAAGCCAACACCTGAGTTTGGCCAAGATGGCAAAGGGCCCTTCCAGACAGGCTCTATATCCTAGGATCTGATCCTAGGTTTTCAGTTTATCCCAGATTATCTGGCAGTGGGGACTCATGCAATCTGGTTTGAAGCAGAAAACCTGGGATCAAATCCTGGGATAAAGAGACTGTCTGGAAGGACTCAAAAGTTATTATTAGAGGGCTCTTCCAAAAAGCCATATATCCCAGAATATCAAGGCAGAAAATCCCACAATATCTGCTTTGAACTCGGTTATAAGAGTCTACATTCACAAAATGTGGGATTTTCTGCCTTGCTATTCTGGGATATAGGGCTGTGTGGAAGGGCCCATAGAGAACATTCCAGGGAGGAGAGGCTGCATGCAGCACTGTGCTTCACATGATTATGCTGAGAAGGGAGAAATTCTGTCTCCTCTATTCTCTGAGTTATTTGAGTACAAACTACTTTTGCATTTTGAATATAGTTTGAACTATAGATGACAGTGAAACTACAACACTTTAAAAGCATCTGAAAAAGTGGGACAACAGGGGATTAAACAGGTTTGCCATTCCCAAATCAAAGCAGTTGGAGGGAATTCTGGTAGTGGTTTTAGCAATATTTGTGCATTTTCATGATATCTGTTGAAATTTTTTGAACAAAAAAAATGACAACAAATGACAAAGTGAATGGATTGAGCAAGTGTTCATGTGTTTAGCATGCAAAACCTGCAAGTTGGTTTTCTTGGTTAGATACACAAAGGAAACAACTCAGAAAGCCCTTAAAAGCCATGCTATCTCTTCGTAATTTTAGGTACCATAAAGTTTAGAAAATAGTCTTACTTTATTGGTTGACCTGGATGACTCTTGAAGTTCCATTCAGCTCTATGACTTTTCAGAAATCAAATAAACATGCAAGATTTTATATATACCACGAAGGTGCTGTTTAGAGGCCATGCAATTGTGTGTGTTCAATTTTATGGAAGCTCATAGGTTTCACTGACTATTGGATCCATCTGAAGAGGCACTGATTGTTCTTGGTTTCTTTTAAAATAAAGAATTAACAAACTGTTATCTGTTTTAAGTTTCATTTTTTCCTTTGTGGATAAGAAAAATGGGGAAAGGGGCAATGCAGGTGATGCAGGGCACTTAACACCAGTTTCCTTTGCTGCCTGGCGGATTTGCCCTGTTGCCGGATGGGTTCCCCCACTGTCCCTTGGCTTAAGGAGCTCCACGTGATGAGGTCCTTAGTCTGTCCTAGGAGAAGGTAAAAGAAGCCCTGGCCCCCATACTCTGTCCACTGTGGTGCCATGTCTGACCTTTTTGATTGCCAGGATGGGAAAATTGCGATGGTGGTCAAGGGAAGGCAGCCCTCTGAAGTGACATTTGGGCTTTCCCCTCTTCATGGAATGACCCTTGAGTTATCCACAGATCATATAAGAACCCATAATTTTGAGCATCAAACCTGCACTTGATTTATACATGAGACCAATTTATACATTAGTATATACAGCACTGGAATATTGCAGTGGGCTAGAGATTTCTAGACCCCACTTTCTGAGGACCAAACTAGATACTCCATTAAGCACATATTCAGAAACACTACTCCAAGTGGGGGAAAGATCTGCCTCTTCCTGGAGCAATGAGCCCAGAACATGGGTCCAGGGGACCTTTGTTCAACTTCTTGGCTGCTGAGCTGTGAAGCTTCTCTGAATTTTGTCCTGCTCCTCATACTATTTAACATCTGCAGGGATTTGAGATTCAGTACCAATAATGTGCTGATCACACACCACACTATTTGTATTTTCCCCATAACCCCCTAAGTACATGTTTGGAAACACACTGCTCCTCCAAGTGGTGAAAAATATCTGAAAGTCTTAGTACATGCTCTTTCTCAGTTCTGTATCTTGCATTCCAGTGTACTTTGTTTTCTGATTGGTCCTTGGAAAGTAAACACGAGTTTAATTTACAAGAGACATTTATCTATAAATTGTGAAGAGAGAGAAAATATGTTAATTACTGAGAATATACAATTGCCTCAACATATACTGTGAACCTCAGCATGGATCTTACAAGGAATGCAAATCTGTTATCAAAGGGGATTCAATTGCATTAAGTGCATACCACCTTTGTTTGATCATAGTGACAAGGGTGATTAATATATACATGGGAAGAATCTAGGCTGGTTGGTAGTCTGAACTCTCATAGAAACAATAAAAGCTACAACCAAGTACAATCATAGTCCAATAATGATCTGGTGTATATATTTGAGCCTATTAATCTTTGGCTGTTTTAGTCTCCTGTATGTAAACATAATTAAATTATCTTTTGAATACTAGTACTTCTACTTAATTTTGCTGTGGTTTTGACAGCTAGCCGTAATTCTTGTTCTTCTTCCTTGATGCCCCCTCTTCTCACTTTGTTGGTTGACAAGGATGAATTTCCTCTTTACATGACAGGCAAAAGTACAATAAAATAAAAATGGACTCAACTTTGTGGAGACTAGGGAGATAGTTATTGTGAATTATCTGATCCATGCAATACCATGGATAAGATGCTGGCTTATGTGAGATTATTCACAAGTCAGCTGGATATGGCTCAGCTTTATACCCCTGTGTTTAAATTATTGCAAGATATATACAGTAGCAACACTATCAATCATACATTGGGCCTTTCCTAGCTGAAAGCCAGCTCACTTCTGATTCATCTGTTTTATCAATCTCTGGCAAAGAAATAATACACTAATGCATCTTCAAAGGAGGCTCTATAGAATAGCAAAGAGAGTCAGCACAGATACATTTATTCCCCATTCTCTACAAGATCTTCCTCCTGCTAACTGCAAGGCACACGAGTCTCTTATTGGCTAGATTGCCTTCTCCAAAAAAGCCCACAGTTGTAATATTCTATAGATCAATTCATTAGCTTTGGAGATTCCACACCAGGACATTTCTGGTTGCCACCCTGTTTGCTGCTATCTTTGTCTTCCATTTTTAATTTGAGATTAATTTGTTCAGAAAACCTGACCCAATTTCTGCAGCCATCATTTTCCTGGCTTCTGATGCTAGCATCTCATTGCAATGCTTGGCATTACTGCTACTTACTCAAAGGGGTCACTGGGATCAGTCCTCTGGAGCTCTGGAGGAATTGGTATTCTTTTGTAGTACATCTCCCAGTCGAAGGCTCCACGCATGGCATCCCCCGCTTGTGCCTCATACCCAAAGTGATTGTGGTCAATGACATCGATCATGGGGCACACAATGGTTTTATGGTTTAACGCAATCTGGTCTGAAAGATGAAAGCAGAAAATACAAAACGACAGGTCTAGTCAAGCCATCTATCACATTTCAACAAAATGAATCCCTTCAGGCATCTTCTTCTTTCATTTTCCTTTTAACTGGGAAGATTGGCTAGGCAGTTCCCTATGGCCCTAAAACCATTTCAGTTTTCAAATCTGCATCGGGCTTCTATCTGTAACAGTCCGAATGCATTCAACCAGTGATTAGAAGCAATTATAGTTTCTCAAAGAGAGACGCGTTTGGAGAGACTGGCACAAGTCCAGTCATCTGTATCTCTGTCACTTTGCTGCTTTAAGATGTCCCTGATCTGTCACCTCAGGAACCATCTAAGAAGGATAATAATAATAATAATAATAATAATAATAATAATAAGAAACATTAATTTTAGTGCTGAGTGTATACAGCAACAACATGCTGAGAAAATACTGCCCCTTTTGTTCTTAAAATAGAACCACATTTTGCTGTAGTTCACCTTCCATTCTAAGAACAGTTAAAGGCATGAACCTGTCAATTTTTGATCTGTGTCCTTTTCACATTTTATGCATACTGACGACTTCCCATATTAATATGCTCATTCTCCCACCTGCCCCCTCTAATGCTTCAAAATAAAATTCTAAATAGATATGTGCATATTTCTGTCAAATTGCCCACTTACAGATCTATTTCCTTTTAATTTATTTCTAATATGTAATTTGAGTCATTTCACGGTCAAGAACTGCATACCCATTCAGGGTAGTATAATTTCCGGTAAATACCTCCAGCCTCATCCAAATATAAGAGAAAATGGGAGGGGGGGGATCATGGACCCTTTCACACAACACAATTACCACACTTTAAATGTCACAGCAACATTCTATGGAATTCTGACATTAGAAGTATATATATATATATATATATATATATATATATATATACACACACACACACACACACACACACACACACACACACATGCGCCGAGGGTGGAGATACTTCTCAGCCAGTGAGCTGTAGTGCCTCGCCAAACTCTAAGATTTCATAGATGGAGACATGGCAGTTAACATGGCATCAAAGGGTGATAATCATGTGGGGAGGGACGCCAGCACTTTTTCTTAAATCAGCCCAGGATTGATCTGTCCATTAACTTTGGGACTTTTGGTGCATTAGTAAGACTCCAAGTCTTACTTGGAAATAAATTCCATTGAACATAGTAGGGTTTTACATCTGGGTCAGCATGGCACTAAAAAATCAGTATCAATGTGTGAGTGAGACAAATACATCCTTTTTGGAACTCATGGATTAAGAAGGATCATCCATCAGGAAGCTAGGATTGGTTGACCCATTTTACGTTGTGCATTCTTAGTTGATAAAAAGCCCCAGTGAATGAAAAGTGTCTTTGTTCTGCACAAACATGCTTGACTTAGGGTTAAATCCAACAGCTAGTCACAACCTGAGTAAATCCATGAATAAACTGTTGAATAGTTTATTGTTAGTTAATTTGATTGATTCAAAGTGAGTCCTATCTAAGGAAGAACCTTCTGATGGTGATGTTGGCTTGAGAGTGGAGTGAATTTCTTGGACTCCCCTTCATTTGCAGTACTGAAAGAGAAGAAGTGTGGCCATTTGTTGTGGTTTTCTTGCCTAGGTGAAGATTCAATTAGATGACCTAATTGGATCCTTCCAACTTGATATTTCCATGATTACACTGTGTTTGGGGTTGTCAAGGTGAATTTATTCACTGGGTTTGTTCTGTGCAATGTGTGAAATAGTTCTTTAAGTCTAATGTCAGTTTTTAAAAATGAAATATTATACATGACAAAGAAAAACAAAGGAAGTTTAATTTTCATTTACATTCTAATGATATATAAAGTTCATTCTTTACTAAGATAAGTCATTTACTATTATTATTAAATGGTAAAACAGCAGTTGTTCCATACCTCACTCTAGAACTCTGTAATGGAAAATCAAGGATGTGACTGAACGGATCATTAGTGTTTGTGCATACAGTGTGGTCCCATATCTATGAGACCAGTACCTGTGGTTCATTTACTGATGTATGACAATATATCTCTAGGCATTTCCTAGATCTTCCAAGATGAATTTATTGTGTTCTTCTGCTAGAAGCCATTCATTTAACAGGCCATCTTATCTGTAGTTTCCCATATCCATACACAGTCCAGGAATGTATCCCCCATGAATATAGGTTTTTTCTTTAACATAGAAATTTCACCAGTTTTATAGCTGGATTATTTGTTGAGTATGTTTGTTCAGGTTCTTTTTTTTTGTGGGGGGGGGGGGGAGCAGAAAATGAAGGAATTTTGAAAAAGTCATAGAAAGAAGAAGAGATCCCATGTCATCACTCCAATATGCTTATTTTCTCTGATTTAGGAATCACAAAAGATAGGAATCATGCAGGAATTGTAAGCATCATTGCTATACTTGTTAGGTCTGATGGGAACTGCAGTCCAACACATTTGAAGGGCCATAATCTTCCCACTCATGATGTTAGTATTATTTGTTTCCGTTTTCCCACTGACCATCCTCTATTTTGTTACTGCACAAATGTGGCAAGTATGCATCTCATATGAATCTTTCTTAATGCTTCGTCTTTGTTTGTTGCTGTTAACTTTCATTCTCTCCATCTCACAGAAAGTGTGAACATTCAGCTTCTGTCTCACTAGATTCTGTTTTGTAACTAATCGAGTTTTGTTGCTTGAAGCTGGAATTCAGCACACCAGTCAATAATAGTAATATTCCAAAAACAATTTCAGATTTCCCCGTTCTTAACTACAGTGTAACATTTTTAATGAATTGTGAAGCACAGCAAGGGTTTTTGGGTTTTTTTTAACATTTGGGGGACTGTTTGCAAAAATTTTATTTGACCAAAATCTATGTAGTCACATTAAATCCATGGTTTTTGTATGGAAAGCTAGATACTGTGCAGAAGCATGAGGCTTTTGTGCAATTTTTTGCAAGTGATTTTTTAAAAAACTACCTTCAAGATTTAAAAAAATCATTGAAAAAAGTGCTGAGCTGTTAAACTCACCTGACACGTATATGAGAAGCATCCAACTGTGCATCATTGACTTTCTGATCATACTGTGCTTTTAAATTGTGGTTCATCGTAAGCCTCCTGCTTTGGCTTGTGGGCTAGTAACTAAATTAATTGGGAAATTATTTATATTTTCAAAATTCCCCTTAAACATATAAGCAAATTATAGTAGATCCTCAGTTAACTGGCACACATGGGTATTGGTAGAAGCCAGAAAAATGTAGTTTTGGGTTGCTCGAGAGTTCAACTATAATGTAACACAGTTTTACTCCATTATAAAAAATGGAATTACAAATGCAGTATTATTTCTCTGATTTTTTTTACTGCTTGCTTGAGAGTTTCATCTTCTTTAAAAAAACAATTTCTGTTGAAATTTTTCTAATAGACATCAGTGAATAAAAGCAAAAAAAATGGGTAAATCTTGGAAAAATGAGGGGTAATTAGGGTATGGAGTAGTTCACAGGGGTTAGTTGGGATCGGGAGTTTGGAATTGGGCAGAACGTTGGAGGGAGGGGGGAAGAGGGGGTTGGAAAATGGGGGTGGCAAAAACATGGGAAAGTGGGGGGTGGGGTGGGGGAGAGTTTTGGGGTTCTTGAGTTCCAGTTAACTGAGAGTCTACTCTATACTAGAAGTGGTATAGTATATGACCAAATGTGCCAAAATATTGTTTCAAGATGCACTGCAAGATAACTTAAGCGACTAGAGCTGACTGCAACCCAAATGGTTCACAGGTCAGTCTTAAAGATATTTCTTAGGCATAAGTCCTTGTATGTTATCTCTTGCAAGTTTTACTTTCAGGTGCACAGAAAGCTTTCTTTCAGTCCAACCACCATCACAGGCTCACATGGTGAGGACATTAGAAAAGAATCTTATAAAAATATTTGGGACCCAGATTTTGTACTGTAAATGATTTTGTGACAACATGTTGTATGTGCATCATCCGAAAACTCCAACAACTCAGAATTACTTACTAAGTAATGGAGGCAGCCAGTTCACATTGACTTCACAGTGGGAATCCAGGAAAGTCAAGACTTCGCCTTTAGCTATCGAGGCTCCAAGGAGTCTGGTGCGAATGAGCCCTTCTCGCTTCTTGGTGCGCACAATTCTCACTTTGACAAAACGGGCCATATATTCTTCCAGCTTCTCTTTCAAGTGTTCTGTGAAGACACACAGGAGAACATGGGCACATAAGAGCTGACCTGAGAACAGATAACACTATACATCACATATATGCCACTGTGTAACCTTCAAAACTGTCTTGTTCATTTACAGCTCATTATTTTACCACCCATTTCTGAGATGCTTCATAAATTGCAAATGTTCTTTGTCTAAACACACAAAGGAAACCACTGACATTTTAGACCTTTTCGTGGCACATCTGTAATTGGCAAATTTCCATCCGTCATAGAATCACAGTCAAAATCACTGCAGGATTTTCATCGACCCTCCAGCTACCAACCAGATGAATGTTCTGACATATGGTTTTGTAAATGATGCCCTTTCTGAGCAGGCTTCCTGATCTTATTAATGATGCAAAAAGATGCATGGATTTTTTAAAAAAACAACCCAAGGAACTGTGAAGTCAGCATAACCGAAGGGCAGCAAGAGAGAATCAGCTTTAGATCAACTTCAGCAACTGGACACCACTTTGCAGCAAATGAACAATAGGTAAGGTTTTGCTAATAAAAAGAATCTAGTTTTTTCTCATCAGAAGAAAGTGCCTTTGAAAGCATTCCTCCCATTGTGGTGCAGCATAAACAACAGAATTCTATTGCTGCCTCCAGTTCTGCCCTTTGCTAAAACAACTTCACTGAGTGCACCAGCAGCAAGAAAAATATCATACTGCCTTTGATGAAGCACTTTGCCTGATCAAACCCGAGTGTGTGCAAAAATGTTCAAGTATTCCCAGTCACTAAGGGTCAAACTAGCCCTGAAGTTAATTGCATGAATATAGTTTACATCACCATTTGGGGTCATATAAATAGCAACCTCAAGAGGATGGCGAAAGGGAATTTTAACTCTTTCTTGTCCTTACACTTTGCTGTTTGTTTCTTTTATATTGGTCATTGACCAAAATAAAATTTGTTGTGCTTGTTCTGCCTTGATTCTGACAAAATCCACTCTTCTTGAACTCCTATTTGCATTTCAAGGGACTGTCCCTTTGGTACCAAAACAGAGTTCCCATGAAACTAAAGAGGAACTTTTGACAGAGACATGGTAGAGAGAGAGTGAAAACTCCCTGATCTTATCCCTCATGCTCTGAATGCTGCTCTGATTTTCTCAAGGCTGCTATTTACATAAACATGAGCACCCAGACAATGTAGTTTGGCCCTAAGTGTTTGTCTAAATAACAACAATTCACCTGATCACCCAATAATAACCATATTTCACCCCAAAGACCAGACTAATCCCATCACAATGGGGATTTAATGCAGGCAGCCCCAAACTTCTGGCATGTGCGGAATTCTGGGAAATGTAATTTGGGAAGGCAAGGGCCTCTGCAGTAAAATATTCACAAGATCCCACCCTAAACTACATTTCCCAGAATTCTGCATGTCCCAGAATAATGGGGTGCTCATGTTAAAACCTCAGTGTGATAATGTGATTTATGTCACCAGGCTCAATTGTATGGTTTTGTTTGATAAAGAAGCAAGACCCAAATAACAATGGAACTCATATCTGCAGTTTTACTTATCCACTTAGGGAAAAATGAACTCTCTATGAATTTGCTTGGTCCTCTAGGAAGTTCTATTGTATGTTTTCCTCGAAAGTTATTTGAAAGTTGCATTGGAAGATTCAGGAAATTCCTAGAGAGGATCTTCTAATACAACTGTGTGGCATACTGGGACCATAAGCCACTGAATTTAATGACATTCAGTTGTATTTTCAGTTTTAGGTAATTATACTCAGGCTGGGAACATATTCCCCATGGATACATATATCTTACTGTAATTGATACTCAACTCATGATCTTCCAAACAATGAACTGAGTCTCAATTTGTCCTTTCTTTCAGTTGCAATTTAGTTAACAAAAACCAAGAATGTAGGCATCAACCATATCTTTGATGTCAAGTCTAATTTGCCTCTTCTATGGAAGGCTATGTCACCATTGAGAGTCAGTCACAAGAATATCTCTCACCATGCAACCTTGTTCAAACTTAGTACAACAATTGCATACTTAACAGGGTGCATTGTGTTAATCTTAAAAATCACAGCATGGCAAAAGGCAGGCAGCAAAGAAACAAATGCACAAAACCAAACCTGATCCAATAGTTTTCCATCTTAACATAAATGCTAGGGGCATTTATACAAAATGGAAGGAAATTATTTCAGTATGTCATGTGAGACATTTATTTATGTCAGACTAATAACGTTTTTGTCACTGCATTCTCTAATGCAACAGCAACAGCGACAACAAATCTATAAGCCCTTGGGGGACAATAACAGATCTGCTGTTCAGGAAAATGCTGTAAGGTACCCTGAGCTCATGTTATTCATATGTAGCAATCAGTCAACATGCATATACAGGCAGCTATTCAATTGTAAGCCTGTGTAGTTATTCTCTGCCGCCTACTTGTGATTTTTTATAATAAATTTCCACATCCCAATGACTCTATGTATGGAAGCCTTCCACAGGATTCAGAATGTCTTACTCTCAACCTGGAACTCCCGCAGAGGAGCAATTTCTCTCAATTTAGTCAACTAACAGACTGAACTAATAAAAACTCTCATCAAATATTACCTATCCAGTTTCTTGAACATGGGAGCAAGATAGCACCTAGCTTTGTATGTGTAAGTGCCTTCAAGTTGCCAGTTGAGTTATGGCACTCCTATAGATTTCATAGAGCTTTCTTAGGGAAGGAATACACAGAGATGATTTTGTGAGTTCCTTCCTCTGTGTATCCATTGGTAGTCTTTCAAGGTATTCATGAGAGATGGCCTTACAAAATCAGACAGATTCTAGTGCCTTTAGGTATGTAGACTATACTTAGTTTTTATCCTAGTCCCCCCTTCTTTTTTTATGTGGAAAACACCATGTGTGAAGAGGAGAGGGCCTTTGAATCCCTAATGCGAAATCAAGAGACTAAACACAAGATGTGTAGAAATAATGGGCCATTTATTGACCTAATTAGAAAACTGGTAATTGAGCTAAGTAACTAGTTGTGGGGGGGGGGGCACTGCAATGTGGGTAATGGCACGAGGCGAGATATCATTCTCAGACTATCTGCCAAGCCAACTTCTGGGTGAAGTACCTGACTCCAGGGGCACTTCACATTGATGGTTTACTATCCCGGTCGGTCATTAATGGAAGGCCATCCCTGGTGACCTCCCCCCAAGCTGTATACCCAATAGGAGAGAGCTAAGCCCCCCCCCCAGTAAGCCCTAAAGGAGAGATTTTGGGGAACCTCCTAAGCCACAAAACCTATAGAAGTTGACCCAAAAGTCCCCCTTCACCCTAAAATGGAGGGATGCCAAAGTGTATGCTGATCCATGTCTGATCCAGGTAGCAGCATGCACCCTCCTCCCTGCACTGCTGAAGGCCAAATACAGAGAGGAGGGGCTAAAATCAGGAAGTCCCCTTTGCAGACTGGCAGCAATGCCAGTCTAAGAAATTCCTGGTCTTTTTAATGGGGGGACTCAAATACTCCTCTCTGGCCATATGGAGGTGATCCAAAAAACAGTTTTCAAGGGTTCTTGCTAACAATGTCTTTTCTTCCTTTCCACAAGGCAAAATCAAAACAGAAGGGAGGGATGCTAAGTGCCTCTCTGCTGTTCTTTTTCTACATTGAAGAAACCAGGAAGAATAACATCTGGGGAGGATTAACATATGAATGAAACTTCAGTCTTTCATATGAAGCTTCCTATTTTTTACTGCCAAAGAAGAGGAGGACAAGAGGAGCTCGTCTCAACTTGGGTGGATCACATCATGACTGGTAGTGGATTAGAGAGGCATGAGCTTCTGCTTTATCTGAAATGTTCCAGGATGGCACCATCACATCTTCAGATATTTTTATGAATTACAGTTTGATTCGTTTTGTGTCTCTGTTTATGTGTTTTCTTTTTGGTCAGGGAGTCTGACATTTCTCTGCTAAACATACATCTCACAGATTTATAATTATCGTTTTTTTCTGGGCAGAAGAAATCACCGTTCAGCTAGCTTGTGGTCTATCTTGTTAAGTGGTTGCATGAAAATGCCCTTAGCCATCATGAAGAGGCATACATCCCAAACCTGCAAATGTTAGTATTCCAATAAAGCTGCAACCTCCATGTCAAGAGGAAGCCATGTGATAGCTGGAAGATAATACATCCCAGACTATTCATTATCAGTGGAATCTATTCAGGAAAGCCTGACATGACAATACAATATTCTTCTAGAATGGCTTCATTTGTATGCCAGGTTATTGCATAAATTTCATTGCAGGCTAGAAAGTGGGGGGTGGAATCAGGCAGTATTTAATTATCATTATTTTCCTTTTTCAATAAATGGTGCATCTTGAAATGCAGAGGAATGCCCTTGTTGAGTGAAAACTAAAGAGACGGTTTTTAATTTCAGATTTAAAAAGAAAATATCTCATTCATTTCATCACATTGTTTATTAAATAATGTAATAAATCATGTGGCTGATGCATGCCAGGCATCTGCCAGGCTATGAGTTGGCACCGAAAATGACAAATAAAGAGTTATGCAGGAGCAAGAGTTTTATAGGTTGTCATTCGTATGACAAGCAATGATAAAGGACAGCATTATGGCCTCTCTACTGATAGTCTGTAAACAAATTTCCCACTGTAATTTTTGTGTGTGGTTCTCTTAATCTTCATTTAAAGCCAGAAAGAATTTACAAGGGGAAAAATAGCAAAGAGGCAGCGATTGCTCCTTCCTCCTGATATTTACATACACTGTCCAAGTAAAGTCTTTGGATGCTTTATTCAGTCTAGATGCATTTAAATCAAGAATGCTAACCTTCTTGATCATTTTTAAAGAGTTGCCAGTTTTTCACCCATCGCAGGTAGTTTTATGTCCACTGTCCAATGTATGGCCAAAGGAAAATGCAGCATGAAAAGATGACAAGAGTGACACAAGCTGAATTTCTGACAAAGTTACAAAGGCCCAGGGGTCTAAAAAAAAACCAAAAGCAAATAGCAATTATGTCTGAAAT